GTATTTCACATCCTGTACCTGCTATATTCAGGAGCTAAGACTAGACTTAATGGCTGTATCCCAAATTGTCATCACTTAGCAAGTGAGGCAGAGCCCAGACCTGTCGCCCCGTGAAGATAGCTCCCCTGCAGCAGCATGTAGAGAGGGAGCCTTGGGAGGGGTAGCTCAGTATGTGCTCACCAGCTCACATTCTCCCCTTCTCCCGCTACTTTCTGAGCAGTGCAGCCTCCCCCTGAGGAACCTGGCCCCTTTTTTCTTACACGCTGTCACAGGTACGTGATCCACCCTGAAATGCTACCACTCTACTGGCCTTGTGCCTCAGATTTGGACGTGCCCATGATGTGAGCGTTCCTAGCAAGTGAAGACTTGGATGCTACCAACTTCACAGTTCCAGACACGGGTTCTAAAAATAATGCTTTTGTGTGATTTGAGAAAGAGATTAAGTCCACAAATTTGCAGTGGTGTTTTTCCCTGGCAGACAGCAACTGTTCAAACGAACACATGGATCTGTGGGCGTCTCACTGGGTGTGCTTTGCACTTGGCTGAGATTGAACATCAGGACTTTCCTCTTGATCTTGAAAGAGGGGGATCCCAGGCTGTAAATGCTCTTGTCTTTTGTAATACAACCTTAAACATTACTGTGGCAAAGGTGGCGGTTGTTTTTAGGTGGTGTTGTGTCAATGCTGACTCATAGTGACCCTGTGTACTACAGAACCAAACACTCCTGGTCCCGCACTGTCCTCACAATTGTTGCAACGCCTGTACCTACTTTTGTTGCCAGTGTATCGGTCCATCTCAGTGAACATCTTCCTCTTTTTGCTGACACTACTTTCCGGAGCATGATGGCCTTTTCCAGGGACTGGTGCCTCTAGAAAACATGTCCAACGTACAGCAGATGAAATCCTGGTGTTCTCATTTCTAAGGAGTATTCTGGTTATACTTCTAAGACAGATTCATTTGTGCTTCTGGCAGTCCATGGCACTTAAAGTATTCTTCACCAATACATATTTCAAATGCATCAGTATTTCCAGTCTTTCTTAATCACTGTCCAGCTCTCACATGCATCAAAGAAGATTGAAAATACCATGGCTTGGATCAGGTATACCTTAAAGTAGTCCTCAAAGTAACATCTTTTATTTTGGAGCGCTTTAAAAAGGGTCTTTTGCGGCAGATTTGATTTTGTTTCATTTCTTAACTGCCACTTTCCATGAGTATTGAATGTGAATCCAAGTAAAATGGAACCCTTGGCTTCATTTTTCTCCATTTATCATGATGCTGCTACCTACTGGTTCAGTTGTTGGGACTTTTGCTTTCTTTACATTGAGGTGCAGTCCATCCTGAAAGTTGCAGTCTCTGATCTTCATCAGTAACTGCTTCAAGTCCTCTGTGCTTTCAGCAAGTAAGGGTGTGTCATCTGCACATCTCAGGTTGTTAATGAGTCTTCCTCCAAACCTCCTCATGAGCACAGTTAGATATTCTGGAATAGCTGTTCTTCACAATGCTATCCATAGTTTGTTACGATCCACAGTCAATTGCCTTTGCATAGTCAATAAAGCACAAGTAAACATCCTTCTGGTATTGTCTGCTTTCAGTCAAGATCCATATGACATCAGCAATGATATATCCCTAGTTCCTTGTCTTCTTCAGACTCTTAACTTGAACCTCTGGCAGCTCCCTGTTAATGTACTGTGGCGATCATGCTTTAATTACTTCAGCAAAGTTTTACTTGCCTGTGATAATAATGATACCGTTCGATGATTTCTGCATTCTCTTGGGTCACCTCTCTTTGAAATGGACACAAGTATGGATCTCTTCCAATCAGTTGCTCAGGTAGCTGTCATCCAGATTTGTAGGCATAGATGAGTGAGTGCCTCCAGTGCTGCTGCATCTGTTTGCTGAAAGATTTCAACTTGGAGCCTCGTTTCCTACCAATACCTTCAGTGCAGCTTAGACGTCCTCAAGTACCATTGGCTCTTGATCATACGCTACCTCTTGAAATGGTTGGATACTGACCTTTTCCTTTTGGTGCAATGACTCTCTCTCTCCCTTGCATCTTCTTTTAAGGCTATCTGCATCATTTAATATTTTGCCATGGGATCTTTGAATATTGCGAGTCGAGGCTTGAATTTTTACTTACTTCTTTCAACTTGAGAAATGCTGAGCGTGTTCTTCCCTTTTGGTTTTCTAATTCTAAATCTTCACACATACACTGTAGCATCGCTATGCTAGTGAACAAGTTTCAGAGTCTCTTCTGACGTCTACTTTAGTGTTTTCTTCCTTTCCAGTCTTTTTAATGACCTTTTGCTTTCTTCCAGTATGAAGTTCTTGATGTTATCCCACAGTTCTTCTGGTCTTTGGTCATTAGTATCTAATGCATCAAATCTGTTCTTTAGATGATCTCTAAATTCAGGGGAAATATAAACAAGGTCATATTTTGGCTCTCCAAATTGCTGTAGTTTTCTTCAGCTTTAGCCTGAAGTTGCATGTGAGCAATTGATGATCTGTTCCACAGTCTGCCCCGGCCTTGTTTTAGCTGATGCTGTTGTTCCGTTGTCTCTTCCCATGTTGTTAGTGCCATCGTGACTTAACAGCATGGGGTGTCGTTCATTTGAGTCCTGTGTATTCCATCTGGAGAGGTCCAGGGTGTTGTTGTGAAGATTAATCGAGTTGGTTCTGTTTCAGCGACCCTGTATAGGGTTTTTGAGGAGTGGCTGGTGGAATTGAACTGCCAGCCTCGTGGTTATCAGTCCATTGCTTTTCCTATACTTCCACACCAGGCATATAGTCACCTTTTATGTTGTTTAAAAAATGTATTTACAATGACTAAGTTACTGATCTTGCAAAATTCTATCATACAATCTTCCACATTGTGTCTATCACCAAGTCCGTATTTTCCAACTACTGATCCTTCCTTCTCACTACAAACTTTCACATTCCAGTCACCAGTAATTATCAGTTCATCTTGATTGCATGTTTGATCAATTTCAGCCTGGAGAAGGTAGTAGAATTTGTCAGTGTTGTCATCATTGGGTGTCGTGGTTAATGCGTAAATTTGACTAACGGTGACAGACCAATGAGTGTTGAGGATTTACAGCACGTGAGATCAGGGCTGCTCACATCAGATCACATTCTGCGGGAGGTGATTGCATTCTTTTGGATCTCACCATGGAGAGTTACTGCGTGGTAACTGTCACACCCCATGGGATGTCATCTCCCAGTGTTCTGTCTTAGTCTCCTGGTGCTGCTTGTTACAGAGTGCCACAAGGCAGGTGGCTTTAAAGAGCAGTCATGTATTGTCCCGCAGGATTGGAGGCTGGACATCCAAACCAGGGTGTCAGCCACATGGATTCCTTCTCAGCTTGAGAGAGGAACCGCTCCATCCCTCCTTTATGAGTTTCTAGTGGCTGCCTAGCCCTCGGTGTCCCTTTACTGCTAGTGGCTGACCCTTCACATGGTGTCTTCCTCGTGTGCCTCAGTGTCCAGGTCTGCTTTCCCCCTTTATAAGACACCACTCAGAGGAGCTTAGGGTTAGGACCCATCCTACTTCAGTATGACCTTCTTGAGCCTAAATAGAAACAAAACACCAGAGTCCGAACAAGGCCACATTCAGAAGTACAGGGGTTAGGACCCCACCTATCTTTGGGGGGGATGCTTGGTGTAAAGAAAGGATCCACGAAAAAGAGAAAGTCAGTGAGCTGTGTTGCCCCAATGGCTGACTGGGAGGATGGCCTGGGATGGAGCAGTCATTAGTTGTATTGTACACCGGTCACTGTGAGCTGGAGCTGACTCAGTGGTACCTAACAACCTTTAGTACACAACACAGATATTTTAGCACTCTAGAAGGCCCAGGCTTAAAGTTCAGGCCCACAGCTAGCAGACACGGCTTCCCCCTCAGACCCCAAGCTGCCCAATGACACTGTTAGGGACTTGGGTCACATTCAGCCTTGCCTTGTTGTGTGTTTTTTAAAAAAAATTTTTTGCAGTTGAAACTAGGATTAGCTGACCCTGAAGGCTATTTATGAGTGTCTTCATGGACCCCTTTCATCTTGATCTTGGTCCCTAAAGTGCTGTGACTATCCTTTTCCTTTCTGTCACTTACACACACTGTCTGGCCTGCCATTCTTGATCTCTGAAACCCCTCCAGACCTCATTAAATGTGAGCTCCATCTGTCTGCACCGGGCAGACAAGTCCTGACCCACAGCCCGCCACCCCTCTGCTTCCTCAGCCCATCTTCTCAGATGGCACCATTGAGTGTTCAGCTTCTCCAGAACAAGAATTTTCTGGCTTGCGAGTGTGGGTTTCTACCTGCCTTTCTGTAGCCAGGTCACTGCAGGATGACCTGCAGGATGTGACCGTGCCCCCTTTTTCTCCTCTGCCAGTCAGCAGGAGTCAGTGGTGACCTCAGGTCACTCCCCAGAGTCCACCCCTTCATCGTCACCACTGTCCCCTGCTCCTGGCAGTCCCCAGACTCACTGAGGTGCTTCCTGTTGGGACAAGGTGCCCTTGGTTTACCTCCTAGACCTTCCCAAGCCAGGGGTCTCCTACCAGCGCCTCAGTCAGGAGCAGATATGACTGTGTCCCGGCGCTAAATCCAGCCCTGGTAGAAGCTGTGTGTCCTCCAGAGCTAAGTTCCCAGGGGCTGTCACACGAGGTTCTGCACGTCAGACAGTGAAGTTACTGGACTGTTGTAAAATCGCGTTTTACATTGTTGAGGACCCCTGGTGGCTCAGTGAATAAGTGCTCAGCTACTAACCAAAAGGTTGGCGGTTCGAACCCATTAAGCATGCCATGAGAAGGATATGGCATTCTGCTCCCCTGGAAACACTCTGGGGTCCAGTAGGGTCGCTTGTTTCGGACACCACTGGCCAGCGGTGGGGTTTTTCCTGTGTCTTTCAAACCAGTACTCCCAAAACTGTCAACTCACTGCACTTGCTTGAGACAAAGAGTGGGGGCCTGTTTCACAGACTCACGCGCGTCTCTCCCTCCACCCCATTGACAGCGCCCCATCATCTCCATCTGCTGGGGTCACCGAGACTCGCGGCTGCTCATGGCGTCGGGAGCAGCCCTGTATGTGGTGCGTGTGGAGCACCGGGTGTCCAGCCTGCAGCTGTTGTGTCAACAGGTCATCGTCAGTGCCCTGCGCGAGGACAAGGACGTCAGCAAGCTGAGCCTGCCCCCCCGCCTTTGTTCCTACCTCTCCACAGCCTTCATCCCCACCATCAAGGTACCGCCCCGCTCTGCGGCCCCTGGTCACAGAGCAAGAAGGTAGGAGAACAGCAGGTAGAGGGGCCACAAGAACAGCTGAGTAGGGACGTGCTCTGCGCCGGTGAGCGTCTGTGTGGCGTGTGTCTTAGTGTCACACGCATGGGGACAGTGACTAGTGTCTGGGAGCACTGGGTCCAGTGCTGCTGAGGGTTAGGTGCTGGACACGTAACTACAAGGTCAGCAGTTCAAGGCTACCAGCAGCTCCAGCAGGAGCAAAGCTGAGGCTGTTTGCTTCCTTAAAGAGTAACAGTCCCGGAGACCCTGAGGATCAGTTCTCCTCTGTCCTGTAGCGTGGGTGTGAGATGGACTCGTCTCCATGGTGGGATGGGTGTACTAGGCATTACAGCGGGTACTGGGTGAGGCTGGTGGGGTGCCAGGCACTGGGCCGGCTCCTTTACTAGACTGGGTCTGATGGAGGCTGACTGTGACACTACACACAGATGTGTTTGGAGACGTTCAGTCACTTGCTCCAGCGGCTCGTTTGGGCAGGAGTTGAACCCAGTGCGATCCTAGAGCCTGCTCGCTCTGCTCCCCTCTGTGTTGGGGCTGGTGACCCCACTCAGTGCTGGAAGCATACTCAGCCACACTGGTCATCACTTTAAAGACAGTTTTGTCCGTAGTGGCACATGGAGTCTGTCTGCCAGTTGCTGTCAAGTAGCACGTGGGTGAGTGGGTTTGCCCTTAGCCCCTTCTTCACCATCTTTTTTCTTATCTTCTCTTGGCTTCTAAGTACCAAGTAGATTTCTGGTTATAGAAAATTGTATATTTTCAAATGCCAGAATTCCAGAATCTGCCCTTTTTCCCCAAAACCCCTTAAAATCTTGGCTCAGAGCCTCAGCCCTGGTTGAGACTGCAGGTTAGAACCACCTGAGGCTTTTAAACTTGCCGGTGTCCAGGGGCGCCCCCTAGCATTCAGGTTTTACCAGCTGGTGGGATTTAGGAGGTCCCTGTTTACGCCCCAAGTTGGGAGTCACTGCCGTGCTACAGTGGCCTGTCCCACGTCCCACTCACTCAGCCTTGTGAGTCTCAGTCTTTCATTTTCTTCCCTGTCCACCTGCAGCCCCCAATTCCAGACCCCAACAATATGCGGGACTTCGTCAGCTACCCCTCAGCTGGTAACGAGCGGCTGCACTGCACCATGAGGCGCACGGAGGATGACCCCGAGGTGGGCGGTCCCTGCTACACACTCTACCTGGAGTACCTGGGTGGGCTGGTGCCCATCCTTAAGGGGCGGCGCATCAGCAAGCTGCGGCCGGAATTTGTCATCATGGACCCCCGCACGGATAGCAAATCAGGTGGGCATCCCACTGCAGACAGCGCTCTGCACGTGGGGCAGATGGAGCCCTCAGCCGTGTGGGTAGTGAGTGCTCCCAGAAATCTGAGGACGCTGAGAGCATGTTCACAGCCCTCTGGGAGGCGCCACGTAGACAGGTCTGTGGACGAGGACGGGGGCAGCCGGCCCAGGGCTTCCAGGAAGGATTGTACCCTCTTTCCATTTTTGGGCTTGGCCCAGGAGGCCCTCAGTGCACTGTTGAGACAGCATAGGAAGAAGAGCGAGAGTCCCACTCTGCCCACACGCCCGACCTGATGCACACAGTCAGATCACCCACAGCCTCAGCCTTTCCTCATGGACCTGTACGAAGTCCAACATTTCCTCCTAAAACTTCTCCCGCACTGATTGTCCCCGTGATGCCGCTGCATCCTAGTGAGCTCTGGGACGCTAGCTAGCACAGGAGCCCCCGGGAACCCCCAGGCAGAAGGCCTGGCTCGTCTGGGTCCTCCCCACCCCAACAGAACACAGGGTCCTGTCCTCAGTGAGGCGGTGCTGACGGGGCTGGGCTTGTGTCCTTGCTGTCTCTCCTCCCTAGTCCTGCCCACGTCTCACCCACAAGGCTAGCCAGAACATCACGTGTTCTCACTGAGGTCTTTGTTGCTAAGGTCTCTCCCGTGGGTGTTGTTGGCCCCATGCACAGTGGAACGAAATGCTGCCCAGTCCTGCCCATCCCCCTAACGAGCTGTAGATCCGCTGCTGTGCACCTTAGGGTTTTTGCTGTCTGATTGTAGGATGTGGATTGCCTAGCCTTTCTTAGTCTGGACGTTCTGCTGAAGGCCACTCAGCATCATGGCGGCAGCCAAGGCTCCACTGACTTCCAGCTGAGCATGGGAGGGGTCAGTTCCGCCTTTGAGCTACCAGTGCCTCAGAGACAACTTGCTTAATGCCTGACCTCCTGACGTGTCCCCTACACACTTGTGTTCGTTGGTCAGCTTATAGCAAACTCAGAACAAGCCTTTGGGGAATGACACTTTTAAAAATAATTTTTTTAAAATAATTTTTATAATTAAAGGAATTAAAAAGTTGTCAATTAAAAAGTTGACTAGTGTTGGTTCAATGTCTACTTTATACAAAGTGCTTCATATAATTAATACAGGAATTGAGCGATGCAAAGGTGTCTCTACTTTTGCAGAGTTTCAAATCCATTTCAGATGACGAAACAACTTAAACCCCACCCAAACCCGCTGCATTCAAGTCGATTCTGACTCATAGAGACCCCGTATAGTATTTCCACAGCTGTAAATCTTGACGGGAACAGAGAGCTTTATCTTTCTCCCAAAGAAGGGCTGGTGGGTTTGAACTGCCAACCCTGTGGTTTGATGCTTATTCCACAGCTCCACCAGGGCTCCTTCTCTACCAAAGACACTCAGATACCACATCCTTTCTGACGGGTAGGCCAATTCACTGCCTGGTTTGCTTAGAAAGTGTAACAGCATAAAAACTAAGAGTAAGAAAGTAGTGTTCTGTTGTTAAGAGCCGTCAAGTCAGTTCTGACTCACGGTGACCGTGTACAGGGTTTCCGAGGCTGTAAATCTTCATGGGATGTGGAGAGACTGGCAGGCAGCTCGAACACAGACCTTGTGGTTCGCAGTGCAGGGCTTGTCATGTGGAGTCCCTACCCCATCCTCCTGTCCACAGTGGTGGCAGTTGTCTGGGTCCCTCACGTCTGCCTGCCGGTGTGTCTCACCAGATGAAATCTACGGGAACAGCTTGATCTCCACCGTGGTGGACAGCTGCAACTGCTCCGACTCCAGCGACATTGAGCTGAGCGATGACTGGGCTGCCAAGAAATCTCCCAGAATCTCCAGAGCGAGCAAATCGCCCAAACTCCCCAGGTAACCCGTGCTTTGGGAGTCTTGTCCCTTAGTGCAGACTCATGTGCCTCTGACACGTGGTGTGCTGGAATCTGCCACAGACTCCTGTTGAAACTGACACAGGCAGTACGCAGCCAGAGGAGCGCTTAGCACAGAAGCCATGAAGCCCTTCATGGGTGTGTGTACCTGGTCTTCCTCCTGCTCACCTGTCCTCATCTCCAGTCTCCCAGCACACAGCGGCCAGGATGCCGCTTAAAATGGGATAGAAAAAATGGGCACCAGTTGTCTCTCCCACAGCCCTCTCTCCTCAGCTGGGTTTGAGAGTTCACTGCCATGGCTACACAGAACTCCAGTTAGGGGCGTTTTTAGGAATGTTAACAGGTGACACTTCAGGGTTAGGAATGCTCAGGGCATTTAACCTTGTGGTTAACATCCAAGTTCTTCCAGTCAGGACAACCCCTCCTCTGCTGGGCCCGTGTCCCTTAGCCCTTGGGCCTGGCCTCTGCCCTGCTCGACCATTGTTATGAAGCTCTTCTCAGGCTGCTGATAAATGCCCATAGGGCACATCAGCACAAGACTTAGCCTGAAGGCACTGGGCTGTAAGTCCGTGCATCAGCAAACCTGATGCCCCAATTAAGTACCTAAAAGCACCCCACTCCACAAAAGAGCCTCCTGCCCAAAGACGCTCACCTTTTACTTGCTCCGTGGGGTGGGAAGCCCACTGTTCAGTATGGTGCTCTGGCTCCTGTTCTACTGTTGCGTCTCCTCTGCCCCTTCACCACTGTCACTGCCTCCTGTCCCATGGTTGAGGAGGTTCTCAGTGCACAGGGATCTCTGGGTCCAAATAACGTGCTCCCCTCCTGGCTCTTGTTGATGGTAGAGAGATTCTCCCCGCTTGCTCCTGAGACGGCTCATTTGATACATGGTAGAGTTCTACCTTTTCAGACTTCACCCAGTCAGTAGTCACTCACAGCTGAATCATAACATCTACCTTCTCCTGATGAATCCATCAGGAAAAGAGTCATTTAGTGCTAGTTATGAAAACCAAGGCTGCTATTCTTATACACGTGTCCCCATGTTACAAGTGAAGGGGCTGAGAAACAGCAGTAGAACACAAGGGGCAGCAGAAAGACTTCCCACTGCTGGTGAGTCAGTTCCAACCCACAATGAGCCCACAGGACAGAGTATAACTGCCTCAAAGGGGTTCCGAGGGGCTCATCTTTCTGGAAGCAGCCTGCCACATCTTTCTCCTACAGAGCAGCTGGTGGGTTTGAACCACTAACCTTCTGGTTAACATCTAAGTTCTTTAACCACTGTGGCACTTGGTCTTGAATGCTAGATAAGTCTGTTGAATCATTTTAACACTGTGACCTTAGGGTGGGCAATGATCCCCCTACCTCTGCGCCCTGCCACTTTCCCCAGGACGGATTTTTCCAACTCCTGGCAGAAGAGGTGTGTGGTCATCCTAGATGGAGAGAGAAAGACTGGCTATTCTCTGCAGTCTCTTACGAACGAGTAACTGATGTCATCTCATCTCAGTGTAATTCTAACACAGATGCTATGGAGCATCCGTTCTTTCCTCTTGCCGCTGGGGACTCGTAGGTTAGAGAGATTGGCTCTGATATCTGGCTCCAGAAGGGTGCGCACAGCGGACTGCTCTGCACGTTGATTCTTCTCCGCCTTGTCTCTGCAGAATCAACATCGAGGCACGGAAGTCTCCAAAGTTGTCCCGGGCCACGCAGGAGGTCTCCCGGTCCCCCCGCCTACCAATGCGCAAGACCTCCATTGGCTCACCCAGCCTGACGCGGAGGGAGTTTCCATTTGAAGACATCACTCAGGTGGGGCCACCTTGTCCTCCACCCCTGCCCCTTCCCTCCTCAGGGTTTGCCTGACCGACCCACTTCCCTCTCCCCACACCTGCTCCTGCTGGCCTGTCCCCTCCAGTAGTATGACTGTGAGCTGGTGTCCAGGCCAGGGCATTCCCAGTACTGCTCCCAGCCTGGACACCAGCTCAAACTGGTCTGATCCTTCAGTAACTCCACAGCGTGTAGGACGGGACCCCAGTATTCCAGTGCCTCACTGTGTATCATTCTCCACCGTCACTTGGACCACCCGGCCACCCACGCGGTCCCCTCACCTTGTTCCCGTTTCTCCAAAGCCCACTCTTAGTTCAGCTGCTGTACGTCCCAGCTCTTGTTGAGAGTCCTTGGGAGGCTTTGTCTGTGGTTCCCTTGTTTGTAAATCGTAACCAGCCTTTTCTCCTCCAGCAGCGGCCCCTGTGACTATATGTGCATGGGTGTGTGTGGATGTGTGTGGATTGTATGAACACATACACATGTGTTTGGTGGATGTGTGTGGACATGTGTGCAAAGGTGCATGTAAATGTGTGTGTGTGTAAGTATATGAATGTATATATGTGTATGGATACTTGTGTGTATGAATGTGTATACAGGGGGCTTCAAAAAGTTGGTAGAGAAATGGAGTGAAAAGATAATGGAATTTTTCCATCAACTCTTTGAAGCTCCCTTGTAGTGTGTGTGTGTATGTGTATGCATATGTGAACATACATATACGTATATATGTAGATGCGAGTCTTGGACATAGTAGTCCCTTTGTATCTCCTAATTTTAATGGAATGGGTTCTGTTGGGACTTGGTGGTGTCAGTGTGGTTGGGGGAAGGGGCGGCATTGATCATTGATTGAGAACAAAGGGCAGAGAATTCTGTCAGGGGGCCTCTTAGTCCATGACTGAGGGCCAGGAGTGGTAAAGGAATTGTACCAAATCAGTTGGGTGGTCCATTTAAACTTCACATGTGTGAGGTACACTGGGATACCCCCCCCCCATCACCAGTGTCAGAATCACAGTTTCTCCACACATGTGGGTGTGCCATGGGACACCCCAACTTCAGACTCAAAGGTCACTGAGTGACCTCTTGGCAGATAAAGGGAGAGCTGAGGCCATGGTTCAATTCTGGCCTGGGGGTGGGGTGGGGGGGCGGGGAGGAGGGCAGAGAAAGGGAGGACTGGGAGGTGCTTGGTTGCATTGGTTAAGTAGGCCTGGTTTTGTGCCTATGGGATTTTAGGCAGTAGGTTCCACAGCCTTCCTCAGGACTGAGAGGACATCTGTTTGTGGTTGTGAGTTTGCTGTCTCTGTTTTCTCCCACAGCACAACTACCTTGCTCAGGTCACTTCGAACATCTGGGGAACCAAATTTAAGATTGTGGGCTTGGCCGCCTTCCTGCCAACCAACCTCGGTGCAGGTAATAAAAACCCCACCCCGTTTTCTACCCTCCCCTTCACTTTAAACTCAGGCTGAACAGTCATTATAGGTTAGAGAACACGCTTGCATGACCGCAAGAGGCCTGTGCACTTTGACCGTCACACTGACACGTCACCCATGGTGACGTCACACAACCAAGATTTACCAAGCAGGTAGCTTATTTGGGAGCAATGCTTTGAGCTTTCCACAAAAACCCTGAGTAGGAATCTGACAGAACTAGCAAATATCTCTCTGAAACTCCAACAGACTGGTGGGTGTTCTGATTTCTGTGGGCAGGTCTCAGTCTGTAGGTTCTTAGAGCAAAAGAAAGTCACAAAGAAAGCATGAAGATGCTAAGGAGAAGCCGACTGACTGGCAATACAGCCCTTAGTGGTGAATCGTGACAAATGTCATTTCTAAATACCAGATAAATCTCCTGTCCTTAACAAGTTCAAGACCAGGAAAAGCCGAAATAACGGCACCCAAACCTGGACTTGACAAGCTTCATTCTTGTCTGTCCTCCCACCCAGATGATGTCATACTTACTCAGAGACCATGAGGAAAGTGAAAGTGGCCGAAGATCCTTTTTAAATCAACTTGATTCTGATGGGCAAACACCTGTTTTGGGTGCAAGATGTGTACTGCTCTCCTCCCCATCTCCCTAGGTTGCATGTCTACCACTTTAGCAGGAGAGGGTCTCCATCTTGAATGTGCTGGTGGTCTTAGGAAAGTCCTGATTTGGCCTTGAAGAGTTGTTGCATGAATTGTTGGTGGTGGTGGTAGGTGCCATGGAGTTGGTTATAACGCAGCCTAGTGACTTGATGTACAACAGAATGAACCACTGCCCAGTCAGTCCTGTGCCATCCTCACAGCTGCTGTAGGCACAGTGCCAGTCCAGCACATTAAGGGTCTTCCTCTTTTTCGCTGACCCTCTACTTTACTTGATGCCTTTGAGTGATGGTATTGGCAAGGAATATTAAACATACTATGGACTGCCCGAGGAATGAATAAATCTGTCTTGGAATAAGTACAGGCAGAATGCCCCTTAGAAACAGGGATGACAAGACTTTGTCTCACTTACTTTGGACATGTTCTCAGGAGGAACCTGCCTGGAGAAGGGCCTCATGTACACTTAGATCCTTTGAAATAGAAGATTCTAGCACATCAAGTGCTGAAAAGAACTGGTGCTACATATGCCTCCTCAGAAACTTAAGCTGCGTTTGGATTTTTTCATTGTGAGTTTTGCAGCTTTCGTCAGAGAAAAGAAGGGGGATATAAGTAAAGCCTGAAACTGACTTAGGAAAGACACTACGCCATCTCTGTACACGCGTGCAATGAAAGACTCAGGATACTCTCAACAACCCGGAAACTGTCTGCTGACCATAGAAGCTTGTTCTCCAACTCCTCAGCAGTGCCCTCTTAATATGTGCGCTCGATTTCAGTAAGCACTGGGGAGACATGATTGTCCCCACATCAGTAAGCCGAGAACTTAGCCATCTGCCTCCTGTAAAGTGAGAATGTGCTTCATGGATCTTTTAATTCTGCCCTTATTTCTTGGATATTGAGACAATTCACCAATGAGCCAACAGAAATCTTCAAATGGGAAAGCCTGTCTGAGGGGCAATATACTAAGCCAACAGGAGGAATTTGAGTGCCAGAGACAAAAGCTTTCTGTGTGACCCCAATAAAATCACTGTCCTAATCAGTGACGTCTTTTGAGAGAGTGCTTTAATCTATGTGCTTACTCTTCATTTCTCAACGGAAAAGATGTTTCCTTTGGGGATTCTTTACTTCTTCTGTTCTAGAAGATACATTGTTGTTGTTGTTGTTGTTGTTAAGTGCTGTCGAGTTGGTTCCCACCCATAGCTACCCTAATAGGGTTTCCGATGAGCGATTGGTGAGCTTGAACTGCCAACCTTGTGGTTCAAACTGAGTTTGCCGTCAGTCCAGCGCACTAACCCACAGCGCCACCCCAGGGCCCCAGAAGATTCATGGTGTGCCATTAAGTAATCTTTTCAGAGACACCTGACCCCCTTCTCTCACTGCCTTTGAGTCTGTTGTGACTCATAACAACCCTGTAAAGGGTTTCTGAGGAGCAGCTGGTGAATTTGACCCGCCACCCTTGCAGTTCGAACCCACCTTCCGTTCGTTGCAGTGCATTATCCCCCGTGCCTCCCCAGGACTCCATCCTACAGCATTAGTGGACTTTAGAAGTGGGTGCTTCTCCACTTAGTGAATAATCTGTGTCTTTTTATTAGAATATTCTAGTCCAGAAATTCTTTTTAATTTTTTGCATTTCCTTTTTTTTTAAATACATAATAGATTCAGAATTCCAAAGATTCAGCAGTGAGGCATGCAGTGATAAGTCTTGCCAGCATTCTCGCCCCCAGCAGCTGGTTGTCTCGCTGGAGGCTGCTGATGTTTGTTTTGTCATCCTTCCTGGGATATTTTCTGTGGTTGCTCTGTGTCAGTGTGGCGAGTGACCCAGAACAACACTCTCAGCCACGCAGAGTCCGTCAACCAAAAGGTCTGTGAAAAGAGAGATGAACACAAGTCAGACTTGTGATGATGGAGGACCAGGGAACCCCCCAATGCCCATGCCAGGGGAGCCCCCAGCTCAGCAAAAACCCCAGAAAGGAAATCCTGCCTTGCTCACTAACAATGGCCAGGCAGCCGTACAGCTGCTAAAGCTGGCAGTTTGGAGACAGACTTGGTGTCTCCAGGCAAAAGCAACACTAGGAGCCCTGGGGTAGTGCTGTAGGATCAGAACTGGACAGATCACAGCAAGGTGGAAGGTCCAAACCCACCAGCCACTTCTCACAAACCCTCAACAGGGTCTCTGTGAGTCCAAACCAACTCGATGACTCTTAGGAACAGCAAGTATCAATTCAGAAGTGCTGTATCTGAGAAGTCCTGGGGAAGCATGTGTAAAATATAAAAGAACTTGACACTTTCATCCTGACTTAGTCTGCTGTGAAACTGATGTTTAAAATCATTGTGATTTGTTTGTTTATTTGTTTGAACTATTTGGTGTGGTTTGTGTGAGCGAAATCTGTTTCCTTCAACAATTGAGATGCATTTTGTTTTGTGACATTTGTTGCAGTGTCGTCAATGTAACACTCTCCCCACTTCTTCCCTGGCTACCCCGTCTCCATTCATCCTTCTTTCCTGCCCTTTCCTGTCTCCAGAGCGCGTGTGTTTAGGCAGATGCTGCCCTCTTGGTCTTGTATGGTATGTGTGTACCTCCCTGGTGTGATTGTATACTTTATAGGCCTGTCTGTTGATTGGCTGAAAGTCGAGAAGCCTTTGGAGTGAGTTCTGTTCCAGGCATGAAGGAAGTCTAGGTTCCACCAGGTTCTACCCAACCAATTGTTTCTATCAGGTGTCATCGAGTCAGTTCTGACTCATAGTGACCCTGTGTAGGGTTTCTGAAATGTAGCTGATGGGTTTGAACTGCCGACCTCCTGGTTCGCAGACGAGTGCTGATCCTACAGCACCGTACCAGGAGTCCATCCGACCAGTTAGCCTGGTCTTAGAAAGTCTTTGTGTTTTGCGTGGATTTTGTTTCCTCTGAATGCTTTAATTGCAACCTAGACCTTCTCTGAAGTGTTCCTGCTAACCATTGAACCCTTAGGGTCCAGAGAAACCGTGGGGTAAGATTGAAGGTGGAACTTATTCCTGAATGACAACAACGTTGTATTCCTGCAGGACGCCTTGTCTCCCTCGACTTGTCCTTGCATTCCAAAGAAGCTCCTCAATGACCAGCATGTCCCTGAGTTGGGCATTCTTGTCACCAGGACAATTTCCACTAAATTATTTATCTGATTGCAAACAAGGTTTTTAACAAACGCATTTATTATGTCCCAGATCATCCCAGAGAAAGTTTAGTCGCAGATAATGATTTTCACATTTGAGATTTGTGGTTCCGTATACAAGTCACTGGCAGTATGGCGGCTGAGCTTGACCAAGAATTTGTGTTGCTGAGCCCACACTGTGGTGGGCGTAGCCAGGTTTGTACTGGGGAGGCCAGCTGGAAACGCGAGCTCCGGCTTCGGGTCCAGACGCACAGATCTGTCTACCGATGGCAGGAAAACCACAGCCTCCATCCCTCTTCCCGCACCTCTGCTGACACTCTGCTGCCCACTGATGTGTCTCTATTAACCATGCCCGCCTCCTCTCCTCCAGTGATCTATAAAACCAGCCTCCTGCATCTCCAGCCTCGGCAGATGACCATCTATCTCCCAGAAGTGCGGAAGATTTCCATGGACTACATTAATCTCCCTGTCTTCAACCCGAATGTTTTCAGTGAAGATGAAGATGACTTACCAGGTGTGTTCCCAAACGCCCGCTTCTGGTGGGCCTTGGAGAGGGGCCATGGTGGTAAGCCGATGAGGGACAGAGTGTGTTGGCTGTGGCTGCTGCCTTGGTTTAGAAAAGGTTTGACTTCCTCAGGAGGTTGGGACATGTGGTGTGGTCACGGGATCAGTCACATGTAGTCATCGGTTTGGAAGGAGAGAAGCTACCAGAACATGGATGATTATGTTGGCTTTGAGCCTCCTCTCCATAGTCTGCTTCTTCCGTCTCCTCCTCTCCTGATGGTGATTCTGTTAGCTGTGCTCCAGGTGAAGGCTGACCAGCAGGACTAAGTAAAATCGTAACCAATGCCCAGTTTCATTGACCCTGTCCCTGCCCCCATCCTCTCCTGCATGGGGAACCTATTTATGTCCAGAGAGGAGTCCCTGAATGGTATCAGTGTTCACTGAGAGGCTGGAGGTGTGAGTCCAGCCCTAGGTTCCTGGGAAGAAAGGCCGGGTAAGCTAAAAGATCACCCATTGAAAACCCTGTGGTCCTAATCTGTGAGACACACATGGGGTTCCCCTGAGTTAGATTTGACCCCATAGCACCCAGGTATGGACTGGTTGGTGCCCAGAGAGCCCAGTGTCCCAAACCAGCCCTGTCTCCTGGGTGAAGACCTGAACAGGTGGGCATCTTGTGATGTCCATCTGAGTTAAAGATAAAATCTGTTCTGAGTTTTCACAATTCCAATTTACAAATCTTCAACTCTCTGTAGCATCTCAAGTTAATTCAGGTGTTTTCTCTCAAGGGGGAGTGGGGGGCGGGTCCTACTTTGATTAATAGATTCAATTCACCTGCCAGTTCTCATGGGGCCCTCCTGGAGAAGACATTTGCTTGACTGAGTAATCGTCTGCCTGCAGTGTTAGAGATGTAGAGACCTGGATTTACAACTGAGTGTTGTTGTTGTTAAGTGCCACTCAGTGGGTTCCAGCCCATAGCGACCTTGTTTAGGGTTTCCGAGGAGTGGCTGGTGAGCTTGAACCACCAACCTTGAGGTTCAAAGTGAATCTGCAGTCCCGTGCATTAACCATAGCGCCACACCAGGACTCCTACAACTCCCAAAAATCCTGGTTTCTGAACCCAGCGGCAGCCACGTTGGCATGCCCTTCCTCGCAGGAACTGGGGCACTTCAGTCCCAGTGGTGGGGGGCACACTCTGCGCCCCTCTTGGACTCTGAACTTGGGGTGGGGGTACATTCCTTCTGTTGTCCTTTCTAGCAGTAGTGGTCTTGAGTAGGCTGCCTCTTCGTCCCTCATGGGCGGGCTCACTCAGCCATGTCCACACCATAGTGGGACTCATGTACTAGAGCTACCACAGAGTCTCAGGTTCACAAGTATGTTGTACACTTAGTGCCCCTGGTGCCCTCCTGTTCTCCAGAGTTTGACCAGTCCAGCTCTTGCTGTCAGCCAGCCACTGCTGCTGGTTGTCACCATGATGCTGCTCCCAGCGGGAGGAGAAAACAATGTGTCTCCAGCTTACATTTAATGATGGCAACTCGACAAAGAGGGGAGACGAGAGAATGTCCTGGCGGGTCTGAGCAGCGGCAAACTAGAAGCAGGCCCTTGACAATCGATGGTCAGCCTCACTGGAGGACTGCAGCCCTTGCAGGAGAAGAGTCTGCTATGGGGCTCCCAGCACAGGGGGTGATTTTAGCTGCCACTGAATCAGCCCCTGACTCCCGGCACCCCACACACAGCGGAACAAAATGCTGCCCAGTATATGGGGCCGTCCCATGCCTCATTGTCGTTAAATGCCATTGAGTCGGTTCCGACCCATAGCGACCCTGTATAGGGTTTCCAAGGAGCAGCTGGTAAACTTGAACCACCGACCTTGCAGTTCAAACGGCTGGTGCATTACCCACGGTGCCACAGTACAGATAGGGTTTTCATGGACTGACTTTCTGAAAGAGACCGCAAGCTTTTCTTCCTAATCCACCTTCATCCAGACATGTCCCTTAACCTAGTCAGCATCATAGCAACGTGCAAACCTCCACGGATGGTCACGGGGGGTGGCTGCATGTGCACTGGCTGGGAATCGAACCCAGGTCTTGCACTGAACCAATGCTTTTGATAAATGGCCTGGCATGTCCTGTGGTTCTCCTGGGGGAATTCCCTGATGAGTCATTGTCCTGCTCGTCTGCTGTCTGCCCCATAGCACTGGGCATTGGGCTGCAGACTGCTGGTGAGAGGTGGGTTTCTCTGCTGGAGGGGCTTCAGAGGGTTTGATGACAGGTCCTTTAGAGAAGAGAGAGTGCAGGGACACTGGAAGGCCTGTGTGGTTTGTCAGTGGTCTCTCTCTTAAACACTCGAGTCCAGTCCCACTGCACACAGGTGAGCTGTATGTTCCAGCTTAGACTCAAGGAAGCGCTGTCCCTCCTGCTGTTGGGAATGCCATCAAGCTGATAAATTAGGAAATGAGCCTCCCTCGCTCGCAGTGCGCATTTGCTCTAAACCGAACATCAAACTCCTGGCCATGGAGTGGATTCTGTCTCAGAGCAGTCCCATAGGACAGAGGAGAATCGCCCCAGAGGGTTTCCAAGGCTCTTTACCTTTTTTTTCTTGAACTCCTTTTTGCGAATTGGGTGAAGGTTTACAGACCGGATCATCAGTTTTACATTCAACGATTCATACACGGCATCTCATTGGTTACAGTCCCCTCAATGTAACTTCACTCATCCCACTTCCTCCCTGAGGTTCTTGTTTCCACTCTCCCTTCTCACCTAAGCCTTCTGAATTTTGTTCTTGGGCAGATGTTCCTCTTTTGATCTCCAATGAGTATTCTAAGGTGTGCACACCTCCCTAGTGTTATTCCACCTGTAAGTCTATCTGTTATTTGCTGAAAATGGAGGCATGTGGGGTGAGTCCAGCTCCAGACCGGAAGGGTGGTTAAGCGCCAGAATCTCGGGTACCACCAGTCTCTTTCCAACCAGTAAGTCAGGTCTCTAGTAATGTTTTGAGTTTGGGTCCACATTTTTCTCCCACTCTGTCCAGGACCTTTAATTGTGATCCTTTTCAGAGCAGTTGGTCGTGGTTAGCAGGCACCATCTTGTTCTTCTGGTCTCAGGGTCTTGGAGACTGATGTTCACATGGTCCCAGAGTCCATTGGACAAATTGTTTCCACATGTCTTTCCTTTTCCTCACTCTTCCGTCCTCCACACAGGGAGATACCAATAGTTGTACCTTAGATGGCCACTTAAGAGCTTTGAAGACCCCAGTCACTACCCACCAGAATGGGATGTAGAATGTTGTCTTTGTGTCCCCTGAAACTGTGGTCCCGAGCCTTCAGGCCCAGTGACTCATTCCCTCAAGGTGTTTCATTATGTGTAAGACATTTATATAACTTTGTACCCTATCTGCTCCAGCACATCCATGGATACATTTGCAGCAAAGGTAAAAGCCATGTACAAATATAAAGGCTGTCATCATTGTGGAAGCTGCCTCATCATCTCCTCACGGAGAGGCTGGGGGTTCAAGCCACCAACCTTTCAGTTAGCAGTTGAACACGTCACCTGTACACCACAGAGCTCCGTAGATTTGCTATGTTGTTGTTAAGTGCTATCGAGTTGATTCTGACCTACAGCAACCCTGTATAGGGTTTCCAAGGAGCAGCCAGTGAGTTTGAACCACCAACCTTGCAGTTCAAATGACTTTGCAATCTGAAGCGCTAGCCCACAGTGCTACACCAGGGTTCTGTTCATCAGTTTCTCGTCTACATGTCACATGGTTTTAGGTAGAGAAAGTTAGTTTATAAAGCGATTCCAGATACATGCCTGCTACATGACATTTCCTGCATGACCCAGTCCATAAAGCAGAAACCCAGTGTGCTGTCATCATGTTAATTGCACTACGCAAAGTGACCCATGTGTGCGGAGTAGAATGTCTCCGTAGGGCCTGCGTGACAGTAATCTGTATAGAAGGTGCCCCTGGGTGGGTTTGAACCATCAACCTTCCTATTTATAGTCAAGTGTAAACTGTTTGTACCCCTGACACTGGACATCCTGAGCCCATCCTGGACATGAGAGAGTGGACAATTTACAATGATCTACTGTAAACAACTTCTGTAACATGACTTATGGGGTTGGGGGGTGGCTCCTGAGGGATGCAGTAACCAAATTTAGAAGACTGAGCTATACTGACCAGAACGCTTTGTCAGTGCCTTGGTTCCCTGGGCTCAGTGAAATAGAACCAAAGCCCAGCCCTGCTCAATCCCAGTTTCCAGTGGGTCCAACTCATGCCATCATGGCGGCCTCATGTGTATCAGAGTAGTACTGCACTCGGTGGGGTTTCCAAGGACTGATTTTTCAGAAGTAGAGAGGCAGGCCTCTTGGGAGGTACTTTTGAGTGAACTGGAGCCTCCAGCCTCCATCCTTCAATTAGCAGCTAAGTGGGTTCACAATGTGTAACCCCCAGGGACTCCAGCCCAGCCCTGCAGAAGCCACCAATTGCTTGTGTGTGTCATAAGCTTCTTGCAGCTTGTGTAAGTGGCCCAGCTGCCCCTACTATTCATCTCACTCTTCTGTAATCAGTTGGTCTTTCTCCTTTCTTCCAGTGACAGGAGCATCCGGTGTCCCTGAGACTAACCCACCTTGTACCGTAAACATCCCCATCGCCCCAATCCACAGCTCGGCCCAGGCCATGTCTCCCACGCAGAGCATCGGGCTGGTGCAGTCCCTGCTGGCCAATCAAAACGTGCAGCTGGATGTCCTGACCAACCAGACCACCGCTGCGGGTCCCACGGAGCACGCTGGAGACACGCCTGTCTCTTACCAGGTCCCCAGCCGCTACTCCAGCCCTGGGCAGGTGATCTTCGGGGGCGTGGAGATGAGCCGCTTGATCCAGAACCCTCCGCCGCCGCCTCCTCCTTTGACCCTGCCTCCGCCCCCTCCCGGGGCATTGCCGCTGACCCTGGTGGACCATGGGGACCGCGACCATGAGCACCTACAGAAGCCAGCCAAAGCCCTGCGGCCTGCCCCGCCCCTGGCGGTGGAGGGGGACGCGGTGGTCTTCAGTGCCCCCCAGGAGCTTCCCGTGAATAAGATGAACCCTCCACCCCCTTACCCCGGCACCATCCCAGCCGCACCTACCACGGCCGCTCCTCCACCCCCACTGCCACCGCCGCAGCCCCCGGTGGATGTGTGCCTGAAGAAGGGCGACTTCTCCCTCTACCCGACCGCTGCCCACTACCAGACCCCACTGGGTTACGAGCGCATCACTACCTTCGACAGTAGCGGAAACGTGGAGGAGGTGTGCCGGCCACGGGCACGGGTGCTCTGCGCCCAGAACACCTACACCCTCCCGGGTCCTGGCAGTTCAGCCACGCTGCGGCTTACAGCCACGGAGAAGAAGGTCCCCCAGCCCTGCACCAGCGCCACCCTCAACCGGCTCACGGCGCCCCGCTACTCTATCCCCCCGGGAGACCCGCCGCCCTACCCAGAGATTGCGGGCCGCAGCGCCGCCCAGAGGCCAGACAGTAGCCTCATCCACGCCACCCTGCGGCGGAACAACCGCGAGGCCGCTTTCAAGATGGCCCAGCTGGTGGACCAGCAGCGCGCTACTCTGCAGCACCCACTCAAGCCCAAGAGCAGTGTGGTGGCGCCCCCGTTCCCTGGGCGGCCCCCGCCAGCGCTCTACACCTGCAGTCAGTGCAGCGGGGGTGGCTCCGGCGGGGGCACTGGGCTAGGGGGGCGACCCGACCCCAGTGGTAGCTCTCAGCCCAGCACGTCCCCCTTGACCTCCCAATCCTCCTATAGCCTCCTGAGCCCCCCAGACAGCGCTCGGGACCGCACAGACTATGTCAACTCGGCCTTCTCGGAGGACGAGGCGTTGTCCCCACCCCGGCAGGCCGAGAGGCCCCCTCGGCATGTCCCACTGGCTGACGCTGCCTCAGGCACCATGAAGCGTCCGCCCCCTTACCAATGGGACCCTGTGCTGGGCGAGGACATTTGGGTTCCTCAGGAAAGGACAGCACAGACTTCTGTGCCCAACCCCCTAAAATTGTCCCCGCTGCTGATGGGCCAGAACCCGCACCTGGACATGGCCCGAGGGCCCTTCATCTCCCCCAAGTCGCCAGCCAGCCCTACTGCCACCTTCCAGACAGGCTATGGGGTGGGGGTGCCCTACCCAGGGAGCTATGGCAACCCCCCACTGCAGGGTATGCCGGCTCCCTGCTCCCCAAAGGACGCCCTGGCCCCTGCCCAGTTTGCACAGCAGGAGCCGGCCTACCCGGCCAGCCTCTCCTACTGCCCCCTGCCCCCCATGTACCCAGGAGGCAGCACGTGCTCCAGTTTACAGCTGCCGCCCGTCGCCTTGCACCCTTGGAACTCCTATAACGCCTGCCCCCCCATGCAGAACCCCCCAGGCCCGCTGCCCCCCAAGCCACACCTGATGGTGGAGAAACCCCTCGTGTCACCTCCCCCCACCGACCCGCAGAGCCATGTAGGCACCGAGGTGATGGTGGAGACAGCGGACAATTTGCCAGAGGTGCTCTCGCTGACTGAAAGCCCGCTCCCCCAGCGGACGGAGAAGTTCGGCAAGAAGAACCGGAAGCGCTTGGACAGCCGAGCAGAGGAGGGAAACGTGCAAGCCATCACCGAGGGCAAAGTGAAAAAAGAGGCCAGGACGCTGAGTGACTTCAACACCCTCATCTCCAGCCCCCGCCTGGGGAGAGAGAAGAAGAAGGTGAAGAGTCAGAAGGACCAGCTCAAGTCCAAGAAGCTGAACAAAACCAATGAATTTCAGGACAGCTCCGAGAGTGAGCCGGAGCTGTTCATCAGTGGGGACGAGCTGATGAACCAAAGCCAGGGCAGCAAGAAGGGCTGGCAGAACAAGCGTAGCCTGAGGACCGCCGGCGAGCTAGAGGGGTTCAAGTGCCGCAAGGCCAACGAGCGGGAGGAGGGGCGGCTGGGCAGCCAGGGTTTTGTCTATGTGATGGCCAACAAGCAACCCCTGTGGAATGAAGCCACCCAGGTGTACCAGCTGGACTTCGGGGGACGTGTGACCCAGGAGTCAGCCAAGAACTTCCAGATTGAGCTGGAGGGGCGACAGGTAAGGGTGGTGTTCCGGGCTTGTCACTTCAGTGTGCCCATGGTGGCTTTTTATTTATTTGGGGTCCAAGGAATGTGTGTTGTTGTTTTTTTTTTCAAGTCCAATAATTCTGCAAGAGCTACAGAGCCCCCTGGGCCAGCTCACTCCTAATAACTACTCCCCAAGGGACAGGACTTTGCCTGTTTCTGGCATTTACCACCTTATTTGCAAAGATCACATGAAGGCCCTTCACCCCCGGAAGATGCGGGCTAGACACGTGCACCTCCAGCTCCTCTCTCCCTTCACTGGTACATGCATAAACTTTCCTTACTTCGCAGTTACACCAATAGTCACACCACCTCGTCAGACAGATGGCTGTGATCCACGGCTTGTTGGCATTTCCTTTTTGTCTCATTTTTCTGGCCAGATCCATTCGCCGCCTTGGTGTCTGTGCTGATATGTTTGTTTCCTGCGTGGTTAAGTCACTGCCCAGCTCTTGGACACAATGTGAGCCCTCCACAGGGGTGATCCAGCACACTGGGCCCACAGCCAGCCTGAGAATTCCCTTCACCCTATATTTAAATTCTCCCCACTCATTCATTCTACATGTATTTACTGAGCACCTGCTGTCTACGTGGCTACGCTCTAAACCAGTGGTTTGCACACTGGTCCACTGCCATGTTCTGTGAATAATGTTGATTGGTATATAGCCATGCCCCACCCCACCCCCAGGATGCCCATGACTGACTCTGCATTTCAGCATCAGAGTTCAAGAACATGCCAAAGTCCACATGGTCCTCAGAGCCTGAGGTATCTGTCACAAGCCCTTTATAGAAAACTCCCGAGTGTGAAGTTGTAGCGATGAGGACAACGCAAGGCCTCTGGCTTCAGGGAGCTTGCCTTCCAATGCGAGTCAGACCATAAACCATAATCCCGCAGCAGAATGTATCCGGGAGTCTATTGGGAGGGTAGCTGGAATAGGGAGGTGGTGGCGTGGTGACATGGTCCTTCTGTGTCTCTCACCTAGAGCTAGCTTCTCCTTCTGTCCTTTGCCTTCACTAGATGAAAAAAAATTCTCTTTTTGGAACCGTGGAGTTTTCCATGTTGAGAATTCTGCCCCTTGTCTCCCCACTGTGCCAGTTAACATGTTCTACCCCCTTGTTGGGTGGTACCGTTGAGTCAGTTTCCACTCAGAGCAACCCTGTGTAGGGTTCTCGAGACTTCATCCTTGTGAGAGCAGAAAGCCTCATCTTTCCCCTCGAACCGGCAGGTGGGCTTGAACTGCCAACCTTGTGGTTTACAGTCCAGTGCGTATCCTACAGAGCCACTACTGTACTCCCTTAGTTCCAACCAACTGGAAGTTAGCTCTAGAAGTTTCTGTGGCAGACTAGCTTCTAGGTGGAGTAGCCTGCTTCCATGAAGAGGTGCTTACCCCTGTCTCTGCTTCCCCACCCCCACCCCCAGGTGATGCAGTTTGGCAGGATTGACGGTAACGCCTACATCCTGGACTTCCAGTACCCCTTCTCGGCTGTGCAGGCCTTCGCTGTGGCCCTGGCCAATGTCACTCAGCGCCTCAAGTGAAAGGCTGCTACATGCAGGAGGACTGAGGTGCTCCAAGGTGCTGGAGGAGCTAGCGGGCCTCGGAGAACTCGAACTGCCCACCAGGGCCAGCAGAGGGCGCTGACTTGAGTCCTTGTCGTTTATTTGGGCTTTTGTTACCCTTTTATTGTCTTTCTTTCCTTTCTTCTTTCTTTTTAAACAACAACAGAAAAGAAATACAGTAGCTTGGCTCGTGGTGATGGTTCCATGGGGCGTGCTTACGTCCACTGCAAGGAAAAGGGGCCTTTGGAGTTGGCGAGGTGGCAACCACCTGCTATTCTTTGAGACATCGGGAGTATATGCATTCTTTTCCAGTCTAAATTTTATTACTCTTCCAGTATCACCACTAGAGTAAAACACAAACAAAAGCTTTTTGAAAAAAACAAAAAACACACAACCAAAAATCCTGACCATAGGGTTCCCCTGGGGGACAGCTCTCAGCTCCCACTTGACTCCCCAAAGGTGACTTGACTCATGGAATGTGTTGCCAAATGCACTGTGTGGGTACAGAGAGTAGGGGTAAGTATGAGTTGTTCCTTGGTGAGGCAGGGGACCCATATACAATGCTCTGTGACGCTGGGGGGCGGGGAGACACCCAGACTGTGTGACTGGAAATTGTCCAAGGGCTACGCTCCTCTGCCAAGGATGTTTACAGCGGAAGTGGCCACCGGCTTTATAGTATGTTGAGACTCTTTAAGGGCAACAGTGATCGTTCTGAATGACTGACTTAGGGGGAAGGTACACAGACCCAAATGTAAGAACCCAGGCTTGGGGAGGGGTCGCAGCTCAGCTATGCCGAGAAACAGCCTTCTGTTCCCTCCCTGCTTTGCTTTTTAGTCCACCTGGAAACTGCCACCGTGAAGGGGTCTCTGCCTTTCCATGTGAGAGTCTGCACTTTCTCAGAGTGCTAACCACACTTGGCTTGAAAATTCTTTCCTCCTCTGGGTGTCGTGAAAATTCACTTAACTCAAAATGGTTTCCATTGCACTAGCAATTGTAACTTAAAGGAAAAAAAGGGTTTCACATTTACCAGCGTATGAAAAGATAGCAGTCTGGTCCAGTTCTTGACAGAAATTCATGATCTTCTCTAAAGATAAAATGAACTTCACTAGGAAGCTAGGCCACTGGGGGGGAATTGGTAAAAGTCTAGGACTTCAGGTAATTGGGTAACTTCCCACCTTGCTCTTTGTTAACTCAAGAAAAACAAAAGTATCTTCGGGTATCTTTCCATCTCCCCTGAAGGACACCCTGGGCAGTATTTGAACTGGACAGCAACCCCTGTTCATCTTTTTCAGTCATTTATAGTTGTGACATTCCTTAAGGCCAGAGCACAAGCAAAGTCCGTTGGCTTAGCGTCTTAAGTGCTATTTGCAGACAGATACATGGCTGATGCTACAGCAAAAGGTATTTTCAAAATGTTTTTAGAAAGTCCCTGTTTGGCTTTTCAGGCTTGTCAAAATAGGATAGCATAAAAATTCAGCAAGAAGCTGGCCTGTTCCGTTCCTGGACCAAGACAAGTTCACTCGGCACCTCTCCAGACCCCGATGAGATTTGTAAATACGATGAAGGAGGTCTGCCATTGAGCCCCAGGCTCCCATTTGGTGTTGTTGGGGTGGGTACATACTTCCAGAAAGAACTTAGCAATGTGTTCAGAATTCTTGTTTATTTTCGACACGTTTTCTGTAGCTTGATACTGTGTTTTCAATGCTTGCTCTTAGTTGTGCAATAACAGATAAAACCGAAATCATTTAAATGCAAAACCCCTGTTTTGTCCAAGATAATTATTTATCTTTGCTTTGAATAGTGTTTTAGGGTTTTTTGTTTTGTTTTGTTTTGTTTTTAGGAATTATTTTGTTACTATCTATTGGTGAGTTATGCCCGTTTTATTATTTATTTAGGAAAAAAGTCTCTTTGTAATGACTTATTTGGTAGCAGCCTACTTTGCTGCAAGAAATAAAGAAGATATCAATAGAAAGTTTCTTGCTGGACAGTTTGTAACTTTTCTGATTGGGAAAAACTTCCTAATTAATTTGTTAAAAGGGTTATTCTATGTGGTGTGGATTGTATAAAAAGGACAAGATTGGTCTGAGATAATCAATCCTAAAATAATATTTTCTCTTCTTTAAAAACAGTGTATTCTTCATTAAAAGCGGTGGTAAGCAAAGGGGGGCATGTTAGAAAGGGAGGGGCCCTGGGAGGAGTTGTCGAGTTTTGCACTCCAGCTGTTTTCGTCCTAATGGATTCCTGAGAGAGAAAGGCTAGAGAAGGGTTCATCTGAGAACTCTTAATAAGCGCAAACCAGGGGGTCCTCAGAAGCCAAGCTGACGGTACATGTATAGAGTGAAAGGGCTGCACAGCAAAAACTGAACTCACTACATTCTTTTCCTTTGTTGTTTACTTTGTGGTAGTTGAAATTTATTAAATTCTTAGGGCGCCCAAGGGGCACAATAGTTAAGTGCTCGACTCCACGCGGAAAGATTGTCAGCTCTAGGCCAACATGCTGTGCAGGAGAAAGGTCCGGGAGGTCTCCTCCCGTAACACGGACAGCCTTTAGAAAGCTAGTCAGAGCTGTTGGACTCTTCCATGGGGTCACTAGGAGTTGGAATTAACTCGACAGCAACCAAGAGCAACAACTATAACAAAATCACTTGTTGTTGTTGTGAGGTGCCAGCAAGTCAGTTGTGACTCAGCCATCCTACGCACAAAGTAACGAAACACTGCCAGTGCTGGGCCATCCTCACTAGTGTTACATTTGAGCCCCTTCCACCCCCCCACCCCCCACCCCCGCTGTGTCAGTCCATCTCATTGGGGGTCTTCCTCTTTTTTGCTGACTCTCCACTTTACCAAGCATGATGACCTTCTCCAGGGACTGACCCTTTAGGAAAGCATATCTAAAAAAAGACAAATTCTCGCTACCCTCGCATCGAGGGAGCATTCTGGCTGTACTTTTCCCAAGACGGTGCTTTTCAATATTCTCTGCCAACACCATAATTCAGATGCATCCGTTCCTCTGTGGTCTTTACTCATTGTCGTACTCTGTATCAGATGCATATAAAGTGAGTGAAAATACCACGGCGTGGATCAGGCGCACCTTAGTCCTCAAACATATCTTTAGTCTTTAATGTTTAAAGAGACCTTAGCAACAGATTTATTTACCTAATGAAGTATGCCATTTCATTTCTTGACTGCTGCTTCGATGCACATTAATTGTGGATCCAAGCGAAATGAAGTGTTTGAAAACTTCAGTCTGTTCTCCGTTTACCATGCTGCTTGTGAGGGTGTTTATAGGCTGTGTCCATACTGAAGGCTGTAGTCTTTGGTCTTTATCAGTAAGTATTTCAAGTCCTCTTCATTTCCAGCCAGCAAGGTGGTGTCATCTGCATATCGCAGTTGGTTAATGAGTCTTCCTCCAGTACTGATGCCACACTTTTCATACAGTACAGCTTCTTGGATTGTTTTTGTGCAGCAGACAGATTGACTACTGGTATGGAACTGTAGGAGCAGCACTGGACTGCCGTTCAAACCCATCAGCTGTTCCTCGGAAACCGTGTATTGGGTCACTGTAAGTTGGAACAGACTAGACGGCACTTAGTAACAACAACAGCAGGTTGAATAACTATGTTGAAAGGATTCAGTCCTTGCACACGCATTTCATGATTTTAAATTATTCAGTGTCTCCATGCACTAACAATTCCCTCTGTCTCTGTACAGGTTCCTTACGGGCACAGTTAAATGCTCTGGAATACCCATTCGTAGCAATGTTACCCTTAGTTTCTTTACATTCACTCGATGGAATGCCTTTGTACGCCAATAAAACACAAACATCTTTCTGGTATTATCTGCTTTCAGTCAAGATCCATGTGGCATCAGCAATGGTATCCTTCATTCCACGTCCTCTTCTGAATCCAGCTTAAGTCTCTGGCAGAACCCTGTAGATGTGCTACTGCAACTGTTTTTGAATTGTCTTCACCAAAATTTTACTCGATTGTAATATTAATTATACTGTTCTATGACTTCAGCACTCTGTTGGGTCACCTCTCTTTGGGATGGGCACAAATATGGATCTCTTCCAGTCAGTTGGCCAGCATCAATTGCTTGAAACATTTCAATTTGTAGTCCATCCATTCCTGGAGCCTTGTTTTTCACCTAAACCTTCAATGCACCTTGGACTTCTTTCTTCAGTATCGTTGGTTCTTAATCAGATGGTACCTCTTGAAATGGTTGGACATTGACCAGTTATTTTTGGTACAGTAATTCTGTGTACTCTTTCCATCATCTTTTGATTCTCTGTGCACCAATAGAATAGAATTCAATAGAATCCTTCAGAAGTGCAAGTTGAGGCTTGATTTTTTTCTTCAGTTCTTTTAGCTTCAGAAATGCTGAACATATTCTTCTCTTTTGGTTTTCTAACTCCAAGCCTTTGCACTTTCATTATAATACTTTGTCTTCTCAAGCTGCCCTTGGAAGTTTTCTGTTTAATTCTTATACTTTCTCATTTCTTCCCATTGCTTTAACTTCTCTAGGCTCAGGAGCAAGTTTCAGAGTCTCCTCTGACAGCCATTTTGGTCTGTTCTTTCTTTCCTATCTTTTGAATAACGTTTACTTTATGTGTGATGTTCTTGATGTTATCCCACAACAACACTGGTTTTCAGTCATTAATGTCTAATGCATCAAATCTCGTCTTGAGACAGTCTCTAAACTCAAGTAGTAGATACTCCATATTGTGGCTCTTTTCGACTTCCTTTAATTTTCTTCAGCTTCATCTGAGCTTGCATATAAGTAACTGAGAAGTGATGATCTGCCCCACAGTCATCTCCTGGCCTTGTTTTGGCTGATGATATTGAGCTTCTCTGTCCCACAGATGTACTCCGTTTGATTCCTGTGTATTCTATCTGGTAAGGTCCACATGTATACTTGCCTTTTATGTCGTTGTAAAAAGATGTTTACAATGAATAAGTCATTGTTGTTGTTAGGTGCCATCG